GAAGCACTGTCTGACGCGTCTGCCTCCGCGACCCGAAAGGAGAAGCGGCGATGGAAGATGAAGATGAGCTGAAGGACTTATTCAACCTATATTCAGTAGCACTTCACTTAAATAATTATATCGGTCATAATGAGGGGCTGTTGGATTGACCTCTGGAACAAAATATGGTCCATGTTAAAATGTCTTCCATTTATATCGCCAACGCTTCAGTCACACAACAGTGGCTTCATTCAAGTCAGAACAGCTATATAATGATATCGAAGTAACTAGAAAAAAACTCAGGTAAGTGGATATAGGAGATCTGAGTGACTGCTGATGTCAAAAGGAGCTATAACGCCGTACTTACGTCGATGACGTAATGAAACTTGTTACAGACACAGCTTTGCAGAGTAATGTTTTGAGATCCACTACCGTTGAAATCAGTACCTGCTCTTAAATAAAGCGTGCCTACGAAATCGCTGCACTTTGAATAAGCTAAGTCCTTACTTTCAAACTTATCCGGGGATGCATCCAGTTCGTTGAACACATCTTCATCCATCTAGAAACACAAGAAATCACTTTATACGAAAAACGAATCGCTCAGACGTACCCGCTTGTACGCTATTTTGTACGTGAGAATAGGTTTGAAGCTGCTGATCGTCCAGAGGATCTTGATTTCGTCAGGCGTGCTTTCGTCGACCGACGCCTTCAAGTTCATCGGAGTGCCCGGCTTGCCTGAAATGTTCACGAATCTTAACACAATTAAAAGCCGATCACACTCACAGCATTAAAAAGGGGTTGTAAACACCCTAGTTTAAAGGTATCTAAAGCTTACGCATGAGGAATACGGCACCTGAAAAAAACTACAGTACACTTTAAAAAGTTTGAGAGGAAAAGCGGTCATCTAGGAAAGCTTATCGAACATGCGGACAGAATGCAAGGGCAGGAGCAACGGAACCATCGGTCAAAAGCTGGGAAGGCCATACCCGAACCACATAGTTATCCGCCGCGTTTCTGGTTTCCATGGGAAGCTATAAAAAAAACTTCTAAGCTTGGAATTTGCCTTTGTTCAGAGCAGCTCAGAGATGCACTTCATATGCTCAAACGGCAATGAGGCGGTAGCCGAGTAAATCTGATATCAGAAATTGAAATGTCATGATCACCGTAGAATTGGAAAGCAACTACATGGTAGCTACCTCAGAATATCATGGTTATGCTCTGTCTTGATGTAAATTTAGTCTTCAAGTCTGACCTCTCGCTTTGCAGTCAGCTTACTCATGTGAAATCCGTTGAAACGTAGGAGGCAAAGAATGGCTAGATCAAAGTACTATCCGATGCCAATGAGGAGCCAACCACGTGAAACGGCGCAGGATAAAACAGACGAATGTCTCTGACTGACATAAAAAGAAAATTAGAAAGAAGCTTCGCAGTGGTTGAACATCCAGTAAAAGATGGTCATATCCTGGGAATGAAAGGGGTAGGGAACGGAAGCGCTTCTGATACGGTCAGGCGAAAGCCTGAAGAGAGGCAACAGCGGCAACTTACCACCAATATGGAAGAAAACAGCAGAGGAACTAATGAAGAACAATGAAACAGGATTACATCTAAATATGTCGCCTATATTTCTTAGTAAGTACTAACAATTAGTTAATCGTTATTAAGCCTCCAGTTCATCTAACAACCTACAACAGTAAGGTAGACCATGTTTTACATCCTGCTGTCATAAAACTTAGCCTGAGAATGGATTTATCTTCATCCAAAACATCGGGATTATATTGCATGAAATTTATATGCGGATTAAAGATGAAGAACATTCGCATATCAATAAGTTCTTTATGCGCGAGATGATAACATATTTAATCTAAAATTATTAAATGCTACGCACGGGAGAATAACGCATTAATTTTTAATTTAGATATTTTAACTTTAATATCCTCTACTTTCCGATATGGGACAAAAATTGATATGGTCAAACAGCAATGCTAAAAATTATTCAGATGATTTCAGCTGTGCGCAAAGACAAACAGCTTGCTTCCAGCCACTGTTCAGTTAGTCTCTCACATGAGACGTTCTACACTCTGCTTCATGCTCCAGGATTACACCGTCAATCGATACAACTGGCATGATGTGAAATGACCATAGCTGATCTGACCTGATCTGTTTCGAACTTGCGGTTGAGGGCATCAAACAAGATCTACGGCAAAACCATCTTTCACAACGCGTTTTGTTACTACACTTGTAGCATCACCAAGGCAGAACCTTCGGCTTTCGTATTTCCAGCCATGAATCAATGCACTATCAGCCGTTCAATTTTCGTTCAAGGCGTTTGCATTTACTCTTCCACCGCAGCTGTCTCATGAACGTCACGCCTTTGTCCTCTTATTCTCTGTTAAAATTCATATACCTCGCTCGATAGTGATCCACACGAGGGACAGTGATAACAGCTAGCCTGATCATAATAGACAGAAAAGCGAGTTTTCTCAAATATAGTTGCTGGATGACATATAATATGGAATATGTAGTTTCCCTGATAACCAACCCAAATCTCTGGCCAATTCCTACTGTAACGTCATTGCAATTGCTGTCAGCTAAAGCGGAAGAAGCTGAATCGATGGTGATTAAGCAGAGCGCAATCTGCACTTGTCTATAAAGCTTAACTGAGGAACGTGGTATAGCATGGTTCTGAATGGTCATGACAAATATTTAAAGTTTCGGAACGAGGTCACACTCCATAACGTCGCAATCGATTTTTCAAAGTCTAATCTCAATCTTTTTACGTAAATCCTGCATAGTATCATTCTACTATTTTGGACTAAACCGTTATTTCACACTAAAATTTGGTACTGAGGTTCATAGTGGTGTACATCGTCGATCAGCATGAACTGCGTACTGCAGAAGTGAATTATGATTATAAAAAATCTAATAACTTCTGCTCATAGCTTCAGTAACTGGTCTAACAATTAAGCAAATCTGAGCCAAGTCTTTCAGTAGATATGAATATATTTTTTCGTTAAAAAATTTAATTCAAAATGAACAGGAAATTTCGACCGAGACAGATATGTCTGACGGGGCCCGGTTCTCAGCATCCGCGTATCCTCCAACAAAGCAACAAGCGTACCCGTAACTTCGATCGTCTGCTCACTGTGGCCGAGTTTATTCCTGGCTCTGCACGTGTAGTTGCCGAAATCTTCTAGTAACAGATCATAGATGATCAACGTAACGGCGTGGCCTTCTCCGCTATGCGTCTCTTCAGCGACCACCTTCATTCTGTTCTTGATCTTCTCTGATTGAAGCTTTAAACACATATTAAAACGAGATACACATACAAACACAACAGCCCTCACATCGATCGGATAACCGTCGAATATCCAGGTTATTTCCGGCTCGGGTACGGCGTTATACGTGCACGTGATATTCACTGTCTGTCCTTCTTGGACTGGTATGAAACGAACAGGAGCTGTAACCGAAGGAGTGCCTGTGGAAAGTCTGCATTTATGCACTTAGACAATTAGCAATGACCACAGATACACAACGTATATAATAAAATCAGTATCGTGTCAGCCATGAAAATTATGGCCAGTGTCACATTACAGGTAGTGTGGAATCAGATCACATGCGAGGGTCATAGAGTGTTTCTTTCACTACTGCTGTACTAAAGGTGAGTTCTTTCATGACTCATGAAACGGTCAGCTACCGAAGGCATGGGTCTGACAGATGCTATACGCTTCTAAGATAATTCTAAGACAAGCAAGGGTACTGTTTATACGTAATGGAAAAGGGAGTTTGATTATTAATATTATGCTATTTACCTTCAGGCTAGAGAATGGAGGAAACTGAAAAATCGAAACTGAAAATTTAAAATAAACTGTCTCCCAAATTTGGAGCAGAAAACTACTGCAGCTAAATAAGAGCTGAAAAACTGACATAACAGATGGATACATAGGATGCTGCATTTATTACCTACGTCTGATATTGTGTAACCTGAGAACCATCAAAACCTGCTTTGATTACAACTTAATCAGTAGGAATTAAAGCGTCAACCACTGCTAAACACGCCTCATAATTGAACACATTAGTTCGGTCAAACGCTGAAGGTGAACGAGCAAAGTTACGGTTCGAATCATGTATAGAAAGCTCCCATTCATTCTTCCGATTGAAAAGAATTTGCCTTGTGAAAAATTGAATTTCCCGCGAATGTTGCAGTTCTTTGTTAGCAAATACGAAGGGGCCCATTTAGGCAGGCCACGGCTACCTAGCACTTAGTATCTGATGATCATAAATATGATAATCGTATCATTAGCAGCACCATAATCACGATCATAATATTCATAACAGTAACCATTACGATGGCAATCCTGATGATCATATATATATTCATGATAAAGACCACGCTGATCACCAAATTAGCATAATGAACATCTTAAGCCTGATATCATGGCTGCGATTACGATCATTATGGTCGTAACCATGAGGAAAACTATGGTGATGCTGATAATGATCGTGATCACTATCACAACTGTGTTAATAAACATCAACATCATGATCTCATCGTTGTTATCATTTTCATTACCATCTTGGCTATGATCATGATCGTAACCGTCATCAGCATGTTCATGAACATCGTTCATTTCATCTTCCTCATCATCCTTATTGCCATCTTGTCACCACAATCTTCATTACCACCATCACATGATCATGAAAGTTCCCATCACCATTACTGTCCGTCGCAGATGGTCGACATTAGGACAACAGTATCATCGAACTGTAGCCTGTAGTAACGGCATCTTTAAGCAGCGGAAAATTCAGTTTCTCTCATTCAGCAACCTGCTGTGCAGTGTTTCCGCTGTGTGTCTCGGAGTGGCCGCCATAAATGAGGCCAGACCTCCATCGTGCATATTTACAACATTCATAAAGGCACCAGATGAAACAACGCAAATGGAAAATTTCTTAATCGCTAAAATATTCATCTCCAACAATTTTTAATCCAAAAAATTTTCAGCTTTGGTAACCTAACGCGAAATCGGAATATGGCAAAGATCGAGGATAGAAGACCAAGGAGCCTGTTTCTCTCAGACAAACAGTACGTATTTCTGGTAGATGCCAAGTCAGATTCTATCGCTTCTGGGACTGTGATGAAAAAGCCATTTGCAGTCTACATACAAACGCCTGGCTGGTCACCTGTCTTATTCCAAGAAGATCGGAAATGGTTGTGGTTTCATGTACGCAAGAGAGTAAGTCTAAAAAATGTGACATGGCTGTGTAAAACCGAAAAACAGGGCTCCATGGTGAATTCTGACTGGGAAGACGCATTGCATTGTTGAGTAGCAGCTGAATATTCCAGTTTGATTAGCTGAGTACCTATCAAAAATGCCGAACAGCAGCACGCATCTTCAACGAGCAACGTGCAACTTTCATACAACAGGGGAAAATCATGCTGAGAAAATCACGCGCACTGAGAAGAAAAAAATATCAGTACTTACGAGAGTCGCCGTTGGCCGCTAAAACAAAAAAGCAGTCGGTTAGAGAGGAAGTCCGCTGAAGATGTTTAGCACATTTCAACGCCATTTAAAGCAACTAAAACGTTAGATAAATAGCTAATTAGCAGCGAACAAAAGCAACGAGAAATCTTGCAACAAGCAGTTAAAATGCCTGCTCAAAAATTAACTTTTTAAACTATTAATGACTGAATGAATCACTAAATTAAAACTTGAAAGTATAGTCGGTAAAAATATAAAATTTATTATTACAAATAAACGTCAAGCGATTACAAAAATATTAAAATAAAACTGTACAACTTTGAAAATACAACTGGTTGGTTGGTTGGTTACAGAAAATCAAGGTTGGCTTAGCTCGACGCAATACGATTGATTGTTGAAGACGATGAACCTCTGATGATGTTTACCTGTTTCCGAAACCTAGGGAGTGGAACCAGCTTTCGTTACGCGTAACTGCCTTTCAGTCACGACCACAGGTACAGTTCGATGCCTATGTACTGGTCTATCGTCATGACAAATCCACCATAGTGTAATAAAATGCCTCATAAATCTGAGAAAGTGAATTTCAGTTAGGCTAAGGCAGCATTCATTTAAATTCATTCAAATAAGTCCGTGGAACCTAAGTATGTGCAGCGAACTGATGAATTAAGCGACGCTTCAGTATCACCATGCCCTTTGTCTGTCTTTGCCACAACAGTCCTAAGATTAACAACGCATAACTCCTCTCACTGCCGTCAAAAGCCGCACCGCGCTGGCACAGTGGCAGAAGATTGGCTTTGAACTCCAGTGTAGAGTTCGAATCCGCTGGAGGGCAGAATTTGCCTTAACTGCGAATTCCCGTGAGCAAGTAATTAAACCAAAGTTGCTTTAAACCTACCTGCCGAGAAATGGATAGTAAGCCGGTGAATTGCGAAAAATTGGGACATCATGATACGGTGAAGTGGTGTAGAGAGAATGGACGAGAAGGCACGACCACGTTGCGCGATGCAACTGCTTCAAATGGCAACAGTTCGCCTTGGCCCACCTGACAGGTGACTGTAGTAAGCAGCATAAGGTGCAACCCTCATCTCGAACTCCTCAAAAAACCATGTTTTACTGTGAACTGTACCGTCCTCTTGAAACCAGTATTTCAGGATGGTCATTTAATCGGCAATGGCCTCCCTGTATTTGAGTACATACATACGTTAGCCTAGTTTGCAGTCAGTCAAAAAGGTTGAAAGTTTAGTCCAACGACATCCTTAACCCAGTTCGAATGTTCGACACTTACCGCTAGTCGCGGGCTTGCTGATCAACTGTTCAGTGGTTGAAGCAAATCCCCTATTGCTTTTCTCTTGACTGCAAATATCCTCATTGAACTCCTCTGCTTATTATCATGTATACTACCTGTTTAGCGTCTACCCGTTTGGCCTGCTGAGAAAGCTGCTGTAAACTAAGCCACAGTTCCTAGCA